AAGGACTCTTGAAGATTTTTTTTTTTTTGTAAATTTGCCCTAAGATGATATTAATAAAAAGGTGACAAGAGTGTCTTCAGTTCTTAAGAATGGATTCTTATAACACTCCCCTTCATTTTCTAGAAAGGTGCTTGGCATCTGGTGTCGAGTGGCATCTTCTGGCTCAAATATGGTCATTGGTGAGTCCCTCAGCCACAGCCTTCTCAGAACGCAGCTGAAGGCGGCCCTTTCCGTCCAGGTGGCCAGCCCACCTTCTTCCTCCGCCCTACCCACGGGCTCCCCCACGTTTTGTCGACGCCACCGCTTAGCTTAGCTGGTCTCCAGGCTGAGCGCGATGCCCCTGCCCGGACTTCAGCGTTGACTTGCCCCGCGCCAGCACCCTCTGTCTGTGAAACCTCAGGTCCGCGGCAGAAAGATGCAGGCGCCCGGAGCCTGGCGGAAGGGAGGAGACCCGGCCAGAGAGAAATAAAGAGATCCCGAGGGTGTGCGAGGGTGTGTGTGTGTGTGTGTGTGTGTGTGTGTGAGAGAGAGAGAGAGACAGAGACAGAGACAGAGACAGAGACAGAAGGACAGAGAGAAACAATGAGATTGAGACAGTGAGGGAGAGAGGGTGAGAGAGATAAGAGAATAAATGAGAAATGAGAAACGAGGTTCGCACACAAAATAAACGAGTTTCCTCTTTCAGAATGAAAAGAGAGAAGTTAGAGGGACACACAGAGAGAGACCAGACGTGGGAGGACACACACAAGGGAGGATAAGCTCTCCAAACCCACAGCCCAGCCCTGTCCTCCAATCTGAGTTCCCTCGCAGCGCTGTCTCTCAGTGCTGGTCTTCGTCTCCTTTCCCCGCCCCTGGGACAATGCGGAGCCTGTATTTTCAGGAGCCGCGCGGGGCGGCAGGGTTTTTAGCAGCAAGCCGGGCTAGCAGCCCGCTCTGTTTGTCCAGGTGTGGGCGGGGGGCGCCGGTCTCCTGGCGTCTTGGGCTGGCGCTGGATTTTCTCACCAAGGAAGTGGGAGGCTCTCCTCGCAGCTTCCCGCTTCCAGGAGAAAACTGCCTCTTTCCATACATACATAAATATATTAGGGGAACAGACAAATCTTCATTGTTCAGAAATAAGCTGCGGAGGCCGGCCGGCTCCCCTTGGCCCTGCCGAACGAGGTTGGAAAGGAGGGAGGGAGAGAGGCGGGGGCCGCGCGGATCCGGTGTCACGTTGCAGATTCCCACTAAAGATAACGAAACGTGATCTATTTTTCAGAACAGCAAGTGGATGGGAAAGAGCCTTGACAACACAAAACTCATTTACTAATGGACTGGTTTTGAGTTTCTCTTCTCGGGGTCCGCAAATCTCCCTGCCTGAGTCCTCGACCTATTCAGACCTCGCCGGGAGCACGGTCCCCCAGGAGGCAGGTGGGCGGCTGCTCCGGCGCCGTGCTGGCCGTCGCAGCCCGGGATCCCAAGGGTCGAGGGCACCCGGCGTTTCCAACCAAGCAGAGGAAAAAGGTGAATGTTGTCACTGCAGCCAGGATTTGGGGAGTCTCCGCACTGCCCCAGAACGACGACGCTAATTTATTGAAGGAACACCTCCCGATGCTCTTCCCTTCCAAATATCTGTAGGTAGAGTAAGATCCCCGCTGTAGTTCTTGATGGCGAAGGAATGCCAAGAAAGCGGGCCGGGAGCCCCAAAGCATCTCTCTCCAAGCCAGAAGGGGAAGCAAGTGGGTTCCACACAGAGGTTTTCAAACCAAGGCCTTATATATCGACCCAGCCGAGAAACCCCACCAGCAGCTAGTGCATTGGCCTTTTCCAGAAACTGGTTGTGCGCACCCGGCGGTTACCTGCACTGAGGAGGCACAGAAGAGCCGAAACCAGGCGTCGGGCGACGGTCGCCAGCCGCGTTACCCTCGGGAGCCGCCGAGAAGCAGCAAGGGCAGCAGCTATAGTTGCTCGTTCCCTTTAAATCTCCGACGCATCTCTGTTTTTCGTGTGATTTGCATTGACAGCAAAGGTTTTAAGTTACTAGAACAACTCAAACCTTTCTGTGTGCGATTTAAAATGGATCATTTGGTTTATGTGGTTTGTAAATTCATGTCATTTTACCTCTTTTAGTGGTTTTCACTGAAAGGCTCCATTTTGGGAAACCTTATATATCCGAGCCAACAATTAACATTTATAACAATTGGTTTCCCTAACCAAGGGATCGAAATAGTAGGTAGGCTCATTGGTACAATGCGAATAGCACCTCTCCTTTCTAGTCCCGCGATCTATTGGATTAAACGCAAGGAGAAAGGCTGGTGGGCCCGGGCACGGCCTCTTAGGACTAGCACCACAGCTCATCATCGCGGTGCCGCAATCGCGGCACCCACGCGGTCATCTCCCCAGTTGTCGCCAACGTCTCTCACGTCCTTGTTCCTTTTGAAGAAAGATGAAAAGAAGTGGGCAGAGAGGTCTGAGGAAGCAGAAAAAAAGGTGGTCATATTGGTGTCTAATTGCCATCTTTCTGCTCCTCGTCATCCCCTGTAAATTTATACCTGCCCTTATTTGTCCAAGCTACGGCTCATTTCCTTATACAAAATTGTTAATTATAAAGTACACCCCATACTCAACTTACCGTTTGTCTTTTAAGAGACGTGGCTGGACTTACAGACCCTCCACCCCCTACACACACATTTTAATTCTGCGCACTTGCTCCAGACTTGAGGGTATTAACTGATTTTTAGAGCGGAGTTTAAGCTTCCGTTCTGGTCCTCATACAGCTGCCATGTCAATAAGGACTATTCCAAGCAGAGACGTTCCTTCTGGCAGGACACTGCAGCTCCTTAAGACTTCATCTGAAACATCATGAGCACTAAAATAAGACGGCGAGGGAAAATTACCAGACACATGGGCTTGGGCTCAGCCGTGCCAGGCTTCCAGTTTAGAAAGTAAGTCATTGGGCACACCATATGGTAAGGGCTCTTTTGAAATAATACGCACCAAGAAGAAGAAGAAGAAGCAGAAGCAGAAGAAGAAGAAGAAGAAGAAGAAGGAAGAAAAAAGAAAAGAAAAAGAAAGAAAAGAAAAGAAAAATAAGAAAGAAAAGAAATATTATGCACCCATTACATGGATTTTTAAAACAATAACTCTAAAGGTAATGAAATATCAGCATCTATTTCCAAGGTCTAATTGCATGGGATACTGCAGAATTTTAAGGATGCAAAAATGCATTGTGTGGGAGTTCAGGGGAGAAGCAGCTTCTCTCTACTTGGTACCTCTGGAGAGATAGCCAGGACAGAAGGGTGAAACCCTTCATGAGTTTAAAATGTACATTGCAAGGGTGCACTGAACTGGGCACATTATTTTGAAACCATATAAATAATACCAGGGGAAACTTATGCAGTGCTCCTTCTCCCACTTATGTCTTAATACATAAATGGTTCTGTGGAGCTGGGCTCTGGCTAATGTAATCAAAACATATTTGAAGAAGACAAGCAAGTTTAAAGAGCCTAGAGTTTGTTCTTCACATTCACTAAGAGGGTGCATTTAAATCAAAAGCATTTTTGAAGTGTACTTAAAATTCTGTTTTGAACTTATCTAATCAGAGATAAGTATAGTTATAAAGTCACTCTCCTTCTACCATTCTGCTCCCCTTATCTTCCCGCATTGTTCTTATCTGCTGCCAGTCTCAGCTACTGACAATAGATTATCTTTGTTTAGAGACACTAATTGTTTTCAAAATCTTTTTAATAATTGCTTTGGAACAAGGTGTGCAAATGAGGCTTAAGATAATTACAGCTTCATTTGTTTGTACAGTTTTACTAAACATTCTCCACATATACACAAAATAACAGATGATGGGACTGAAATTGCAGGACATCTCTCATTCCCTGGCTGTAAAATAGGCCTGCGTTGCAACCTACAAACACACACACACACACACACACACACACACACACACACCCCTCTTTATTTAATCTTCTTGGAGCCGCTGTCGTCCTGGCTTTGAGGGCAGTGTCCCTCTCAGAGCAGGGCAAGGATTAGGTTACAATCAGATGGCTATTGGAGCCGGACACAGTTTTATTTAATTTACACCCCATCCAGCGCCTTTCGTTCGAGGCTCCCAAAGCATTTTTGCTAATAGCAAGTAAAGCTTCTCGGCATTCCTCAGTAGCAGAGGAATGGAAAACGCAAACGCGCCGATGGGGAAACTGAGTCCAGAAAGCTGCCCGCTTAAACCACAGAACGTTAAGATACCAAATCACAAATGAACCCTCAGAATCTTTATTTGCTCAGCAACAATGCTCTAAACAGCTCTTCGATGGTCCCAAATAGTCGTGGCCTCTTGAAAATGAGGGAAGCGCTATCCAGCTGGGAATACTTGTGCCCTATGGAGGGCGGTGGGGGCGAAGGAAGAACGGCGGAGGAAATTAGGCTCCTAGAGTTGAAGTCAGCCGGGGAGAAGCCACTCTTCCAGAGGCTGCAGCCCGGAGCCCAGTTCTGATCTTGTATTATTTATCGCGTTCCCTAAGCTATTCATCAATCCATTATTTATTCATTCCAACATTAAGGTAATTAAATATGAGCTCACCGGCAAAGGGCAAGTCTGCAAGGGACAGGGACAGGGGTACGGAGGAAGAGGAGAGGAATTATAAGGTCTGGAGTCATTGATTTGTGCAGAGATGTGCACGGCTGCCCTTAGGTGACACTGGAGAGGGGGCTCACGTTGCAGGGTCCTGACGCGCTCACCCACTCACACCCCCCGCCCCTGGGCAGCGCGGCTCCCTCCTCCCCCCTCTCACCCTTCTTCCCACCTCTCCGGGTCCTTCTCCTCCCACCACTCCCTATCCCGGGCTCCACTGCCGCGCCCTCCCCGCGCGGGGCGGCGCGGCCTCGCTGCCTGGCCCGGCGGCGCGCGGGCTGGCCAGCCCCGGATAGGCGCCGCCCGCAGCCAATCAGCGCGCCGGGGGACGCTGCGCGCTTTAAGGCCGCTGCGGGGAGAACAGAAACCAAGTTCCCCGGCAACGAGCAGCATCAACCCGGCGGGAGGCGGGAGGCCGGAGCCAGAGAGGCCCAAAAGGCTGCGGAGTGAGCCGGCCGCTCGGTGTCCAGCGACCCCCCCCTCGTCCTTCTTCCTCGGCCGCCCAGCCCTAAATTTCGACCAGCTTTTTCGCCTACGGAAATCCTAGGGAGGGGGTTAGGAGCAGCTGCGCCCCCCTCCCTGCGACTGCCGCCCCCTGCTTTTTCGGCGCTGCTCCCTGCCGCGTGCGCCCGGGCAGTGCACCTCGGCAGGCCCCAGCCATGTCGATGCTGCCGTCGTTCGGCTTCACGCAGGAGCAAGTGGCGTGCGTGTGCGAAGTTCTGCAGCAAGGCGGGAACCTGGAGCGTCTGGGCAGGTTCCTGTGGTCGCTCCCCGCCTGCGACCACCTGCACAAGAACGAAAGCGTGCTCAAGGCCAAGGCCGTGGTTGCCTTCCACCGCGGGAACTTCCGCGAGCTCTACAAGATCCTGGAGAGCCACCAGTTCTCGCCTCACAACCATCCCAAGCTGCAGCAACTGTGGCTGAAGGCGCACTACGTGGAGGCCGAGAAGCTGCGCGGCCGGCCGCTGGGCGCGGTGGGCAAATATCGAGTGCGCCGAAAATTCCCGCTGCCGCGCACCATCTGGGACGGCGAGGAGACCAGCTACTGCTTCAAGGAGAAGTCACGGGGCGTGCTGCGCGAGTGGTACGCGCACAACCCATACCCCTCGCCTCGTGAGAAGCGGGAGCTGGCCGAGGCCACTGGGCTCACCACCACCCAGGTCAGCAACTGGTTTAAGAACCGGAGGCAAAGAGACCGGGCCGCGGAGGCCAAGGAAAGGTACGCGGCGTGCTTCCCGCTGCTCGGGCGACCCCGGGAAGCCTTCCTTTCCCCTCCGCCCCTTCTCGCCCCTGCTGGCACCCGCCACCGCGTCCTCCCGGTCGGCTGGAGCCCGTCCGCGGGGCGGCGCCCAGGCCTCCGCGGTACTGCAGCGAAAGTTCATGAACTCTGAGATCGCTTGCTAGGGATGGGGAGTCATTTGATTTGAGCGCCCGCGCGTGGGCTTCTTGGGGGTGTGAGTGTCAGGAAATATTGGCGCTAGGTTTGTTTTTCATGCCTCCTTGGTTGGCTGGGGCGACGAGTGGGGGTGGGGGGTGCGGAGTGAGTTTCGAGATCCACTACAGGGGAAGTGTTGATTGGTGTCTCCAGGAAAGGGGTTCGGTGGGGGCTGAGGGTAGCGAACCTCTCTGCTCTTGCTCCCCAGAGGGGTGGAGCTGGCCTGAGACATCTGCTCTGTCCCCACTCCCGCCGCGTTCCGTACTCGCTCTCTCCTGGTAGGCTTTTGGGGCGAGAGGTCGCCGCTTCATTCCGTACTAGCTGTATAAAGGGAGGAGACTTTACAAAGAAATCCACAGAAAAGAGGGCTTTGGAAGAGTTGGCGCTTCATTATCTGGCGCCTGCTCCTCTCGGGGCTGCCTCGCGCGTGTCCCGCTGCCTCGGCGGGTCCATCTGGCGGTCCGCGCCGCCGGCCCGGATGAGGAAGGGGTCCCCAGTCGCAGACTTCTCTCTGGAGCTCAGAAGGCAATCTTATTTTAACCTGTCTCTGCCTCCGCCCTCCTCGCGCGAACACCCGGGTCCACCTGGCCCCGCTCCATCCGTTTGCTGTGCAGTTTCCGGACGAGGTTCGGAAGAGCGCGGGGAGGCGGCGGCGGCGGCGACGAGGGCGCTCCGGGAAGCCGAGGAGTTCTGGGGAAACCTAAGCACCCGGGAAGGCTGGGTTTCCTTTGTTCGCTTCCGAGCCTGGGGGCCGCACATGTCGCCTCTGCGTTCCCCTCTGGGTGGAAAAGCATGGAGCCTGGATCCTCTCAGCTGCAGTGGCTTTTCTGGGCGAGAGACTGGGAGGGCCGGGGAGAGAAAGAGGGAGCCAGGCAGGCGCTGGGGCCGAGGAGGATGGGCCTGAAGGCGGAAGCGGTCAGGGCTTCGAAATGCTGAAGTTTACCAGCACCGAGCGTCCGGACCGACGCCCGGGCATGCCGCACCGGCTCTTGGGCTGAGCGGGGTCTCGAAGTTTCCTCTGCGGGGAAACGGTGCGCTGTTGTGGGTGTCCGACAGGGGGTTTGAGAGGGGGGCTGTGAGGGACTCAGGGCTGAGCGACTAACACGGGGACAGGGACAATACGGTTCCAGTTAGATTTTAGTTACATTTTAAACGGTCGTCCTGTAAGCCAGGCCCGAGGGCCCACTCCCTGCTGAAATCGGCTTCGCTCCTGTGTTTACTCAGGTCACTGGGCTGCTCCGGACACCACTTCCCATGACCTGTCCTGTGCTTCTGAATCCGCAACCGACGGGCAGGGCCAGGGAAACTCGACGTTTAATTGTTTCCTCAGATGGGAATAGGGCAATTGACTTGATTCACCCTAGACATCTGCGCGTGGGGCTCTGTTTGTCCTCTGATCATTTTCTTTATCACCAACAACTATTTGTTGGAAGACTTTCAAACTTAATTACTTCTAAATGTGGTGCTGGTTGAGAGGTATTTAAAAATAACTGCTTGAACAAAATTTTTAAAGTAATTTCTGTGTTTCAAATAAGTCCTACTGATCTGGCTTTCTAAAATCTGGAAGAGGAAAGGACCTGGCTCCCCACAAGCTCTGTCCGTAGTTCCCCATTTCTCCAGACTCCTCTGCCTCCTTACTTCCCCCAGGACCCTTGGGAATGGGTGGGAGGGCACAGCTCCTCCATTCGGGTATATGACTGATTGCACAATGGCCCTTTCCTTCTTCCAGCTCCCCTCCTTCCACTCACACTTTTTTTAACCTACTTTTTTTTTTTTTTAACCATATGGTGTTGTCCTCTATTTCTTAGGGAGAACACTGAAAACAATAACTCCTCCTCCAACAAGCAGAATCAACTCTCTCCTCTGGAAGGGGGCAAGCCGCTCATGTCCAGCTCAGAAGAAGAATTCTCACCTCCCCAAAGTCCAGACCAGAACTCGGTACTTCTGCTGCAGGGCAATATGGGCCACGCCAGGAGCTCAAACTATTCTCTCCCTGGCTTAACCTCCTCGCAGCCCAGCCACAGCCTGCAAGCCCACCAACATCAGCTCCAGGACTCCCTGCTGGGCCCCCTCACCTCCAGTCTGGTGGACTTGGGGTCTTAAGTGGGGAGGGGCTGGGCCTGGAAGCAGTGACTAGGGACACCTGTAAATAGAAATCAGGAACATTTTTGCAGCTTGTTTCTGGGGTTCTCTGCATATAAAGGAATGGTGAACTTTCACAAATATCTTTTTAAAACTCAAAACCAACAGCAATCTCAAGCTTAGTTGCCTTCTTCTCTCCGACTCTTGCATTTCCCATCCCAGTGCAGAGATCAGGAAAAAAAAAAAAAACCCAAACAAACAAAAGCACCCAGTCACCCAGTCTTGGTTCTGGGCAATCCATGTGCCAGCTTCAGTAGCCTTTCTTTTTTTTTCAGTGAATGGGAATTACAAATCAACTGGATTTTAAATATTTCCTTTTAATTTATTTATGGAAAAGTCTTTTTGGGAAGAGGAAAAGGAAATGAAGAAAGAGAGAGAGAAGTCAAAATTGTGAAAATAAGAGCCTCCAGCCAGGAGGAACTGGTTGCATTCTTAAGGTGAATAGAAAAAATATGATCTTATAACTTTTTGATGGGGAAAATTAAGTTTACATTTTTCATTATTTAGTGTTAAACACTTTTATGTAGATTAAAATGAAAGAACAGTATTAGGGGGAAAAAAAAGTGCCTAAACGTCTTAATGCTCTCTGTGTAAGGCAATTAGAAATAGCAGTGACCATTAGTAATACAACTATTTTTGTCAAATTTAGTGGGGTTTTTGGTTGTTGTTTGTTTTCTTGGGTTTTTTTAATGGCAAACTTTAAAAATGTACCAATGTGAAAAAAACACTTTCCTGAATGCCATTACTTCTCATGCCCTTGAAGCTTTCATATCTGTAGCCTACTCCTGTTAAGGGTTTCTTTTGTTCCTAGTTTCTAGCCTGCAAAAATATACGACAAATCTGGCAACCTGGTATTTGTTACTAAAACAGCATGTGTTTTCAGGTTTCTTTTCTATTGTACCTAAACCAGTCTAAATTAAAACTTAGTAGAACACCAGGAGTATGATTCTGTTTCTGAAAGGTGAGTTGTGTATTGCTGTCATTGGCCTCCCCCTCTTTTTTTTTGAAGTTTTCTTGCTTTCTTACTTAATGGTGGTTGTGAATTGCAGGGTACTTTGAAGGCCACCACCTGAGCCAGGAGTGGTGACTGAGTTGATTATGTGACAGAAAAAGAGTGAAATTAGCTTTGGGGTATTTATTTTTTTATTATTTAGGTATGAAGTTTTGTTTACCACTAGCTCTTCTCCACAGCGTTCATATGTTAACTCAGCTCTTTTGTATTAATGAGTTTATGACAAGACTGTGAAAGTAAAATAATTTATCTGCTTGAAAGAAAAGGGGGGGCACTTGAACAAGGATAACAACATTGTGAATTAATCTGTATAAATAGAAAGCAGACCAGTAGGACCAGAGCTCTTTGCGCTGCTGCCGGATAGTGTCCAGAAAAATCCCAGTAATCATGTAGGCTCCATATTATTTTTGCCTGGGGCAAAAATGATGTATCTTTGTATTTAGCTTTTAAAATTAGTGAAACAAATGGCATTATTTATTAAAATTCTACTCAGGATAACAGGACTGGCTTGCTTGTGCTTTGTAAAAATATTGCTCCCCAGAGAGAGTCTATTTATTTTCTGACATGACAGTTTCATAATTTTGATTTTTCCTCATCCGTGTCACTATTAATATATTCATTTTTTTTCTTACTCTTTCCTATCTTTCCTGTCCTGATCTAGGAGATTGAGATGTGTGTATGGGGTGGGGAGTGGAATTTAGGCCTTATTATGAGTTGGTTTTTTTTTTTTTTTAATGTCAAATAGCTTTGACTGAGTTCAAAGGAGAAAGGATCACTGTACTTAACTGTAGTCACTTTTACTTATAAAGTCATTTTTTCCCCCTCAGTGATGGACAGATGTGCACACAGCCGCTGGGAGACCATCATTTGGATTGGGAGCTCAGGGTCCCAATCTCCCTTGTTAGTGTTTTGGATCATTAAGTTGGTGTTTATTTAAGTCACGAGGGTGTTTATTCTCCATGTCTTGGGCCACGGAGAAATGCCACCCTCTGCAGGAGGGGCTCTCACAGGGGATCTCCGCACATTCTTCACATTCACTCCCCAAAACAAACACCCTGCACAAAGATAGCTTTCAATGACCCTGACAGGCTTCAAAGGACACCGCGGAAATCTCCCTGGAAAATAAGGAAGGGCCAATTACTTTAATTTCTTACATGCCCTCTCTTCCTACTCCGCTGACTACCCCCCACTCTTCCAGCTCTGCTTGGTATAATTTTAGACTCGTGGAAGGTCTGTTTCCCTGGGCCCCGGGGCCCACTTCCTGCTCCCTCAGTTGGTGAATCTTGGAAAGAAAGGTCTGCAGATCTGGCGAGGAGCAGAGCGGGCCAGTCCTGTAAAAACCCCTGTGATTACTGCTTGTAAACTCGTTAAAAGGACAATTTTCTGTCGCAGTCATAAACTCTTTGTAAAATCCCTGGCACTCGATTCAGAGTGTGCATATTCCAGATGTGTTTAATAAGAAATTGCACAATATGCCTTCCTCCGCCATCCCCGGCTCAGTCTGGCTGAACTAGGGACAAGCAGGAGGAGGCGAGAAAGCTGGATATTCCTGTGAGTTTTCTTGGCAATCTTAAAACGATCATTGGGGGGAACTAACCACATTTTTTTTTCCTTGAGGAAATCTTCGAGGACCAGCTGTTAAGGGACCTCCAATTTATCTTCTCGGCGTCGCAGTTTAACTGAATCAAAAGCCACTTTTCGTTTCTCCTTTGCAGGTTTCTTAATGATAGCCAAAGTAATGAACAACGGCTTATAAATAGTGTTTTTAGGACGAAACCTTACAGCCTTTTGCCAAGTAAAATGAAAAAAAAAAAAAAACCAACACAAACAAACCACACAAATATTAGGGCGATTTCTTTTCCCTGACGTTTTAAATCTGAACACACAATTGTTCGGGTCCCAGCTGCCTGCTCGCCTTGACCTCTTGGCTGAGAACGAAGCTTCCTAAGTATTCGGAGGCAAAGGGACGTGGCCGGCGGTTAGCCCTCAAAGCCCCACGAGCTGCAGGCAAGGAGACTGGCGCCGTCGGGGCCGGGCGCTGCGGGTCTTGAACCAATTCTGCAGGCAAGGACAGCTTGGTCTTGACCCCGAGCTCAAGTGGAAACTTCCAGGAAGAGGCATTGGCTTTGGCGTTTATGGGCAAACTCTGTTTGCTGAGCGGTGACCCTCGTGAACGCCCCTCTGCCCCGCACCTTGACGGCCAGTCGGGCACCTGGCACTGAACCCACGCAGAGCCGCGGTTGCTCTGCTCGGCCGCCGCTGCCGCCGCGACTCCCGCAGCGGCTGCGGCTGAAGGGGGCTTCATTCCTACCGCTCCCCCACCTGGAGGCCTTTGGTAACGTCTGCAGGCAGAACTCCAGGTCCTGGGAATCCAGAAGCGTCCATGCCGTGCCACTCGGGCTGCAGAAAACTGGGGGAGCTCCTCCCGCCACCCGCAGACTCCAGAGGCAGTTCCTTGCCACTCTCTGCCCTCCCGAGGCGCGGGGAGTCCGGGCGCCGCAGCTCTCTCCTCCCGGCCCTGGCGGGGCCTCTTCTCCACCGGTTCACAGACAATCGCGCCCGGGTCCCGCATCCCAGCTCAGCTCCAGCGGCCTGGTGGGCCGGCCCGCGGAAACCTTGAGTACAGAGGCTGCGAGGCTGTCCCCGAGGGGCAGACACCCAGGCGGGAGCCTGAGCTTCGCGGGACAATGAGCAGCCGTCGTCTTGTGTACCCCGGAGCCACCTCTCCGGCCCAAGTCCCGGTCTCCCCCTTTGAGTCGTGGAGCCGAGCTAAATTCTGGGCGAGGCGCGTGGGTGGCCGCGGACGCACTACTGCGAGGTTGGAGCAGGCCGGGCGGCGGCAGGGTGAGGCAGTCCTGGCCCCGGGCTGCGCGGGGCCGGGCCGCACGTGTGCACGCTCTCGGGTTCTCCGACACCGCGCTTTGGGTCCAGGGCAGCGGCCTCGGGCCGCAGAGCCTAGTCGGGAGGCGGCCTAGGCCCCGCCGCTGTTCCCTACTGCCCTTCCTGCTTCAGCTATGCCCCGTCTCCTTTGCTTCCTGGGGCCTCGGCCTCGGCTTTCGGATCTGTGCTTCTCACCCGCGCCCTTGGCAGAGGAGTGCCAGCCAGAGAGGGCGTCTCTCCCCCCGCCCGTCGCTAGAGCGTCGTCGGTCGAGGAGAGCGGCCCTGGTATCTAGACTCCCCTTCTGCGGCGGGGGGACGTTTTCCCCTGGGCCGGTGGCCCTGGGCCGGGCAGCAGCCTCTTCTCCAGGCACGGCCCGCGGCCCCAGCAGGGAAGGCACCAGCCGAGGCCTGCGGGGCGCTTCGGGCCGCCGGGCTATCGCCGCGCGCATTCTGCCCTTCTCTGGTGGGGTAGGTGGCGTTGACAGGGACACCGGGATCAGGGTAAGGTGAGGAGAGTCGTTGGTGGCCCACGTGCTCTCTCTGAGCTGTTTCCCCTTTTTCTGAGCTTTCCCCAGGAGAGGAACACTAACACTCTCCCCAGCTACCTTCTCCAGCCGCCGGAAGCCAGCGGAACCAGTGCCTGTGCCCATTTCGCCCCCAAAGGGCAATCCGCACGGAGGCTGCCCGAGGGCTCGGGCCCTTAGCCAGCAGGTCTGCTCTGCGACCTTAGGTGGGAACTTCTGAGCCCCTCGAGATCACAGTGACCCCTCCCCCAGTCTGATTGACTCCAGTAGCTCCACCTGGAAGGTTCTCTAAAGAGACTGAGGAGCCAGCCAGGAACAAAAAGTCAAAATCTTGGGCGAATTGTTGGCTTACTGTCCACCCAGAAAAAGCGCTGCCCTGGGAAGGCCGCGTTTTCTCTAATGTTTTAAGCCGAGTATACACACACAATTTCGTGCCAGCTGATGAAATTGGAAACCTGTCCTCCCACTGAGGATGACAATCAGTGTTTTAGACGCTGTGGTACTTTCAGACAGCGAAAAACAACACTACAGTAGCATTTAAAAACAAAGAGAAGGAGACTGCTTGAGGCGCGTGGACGCCGGGCTCTCCAGTTTGAGTTTCAGCTTCTCTCCTTTTAACTTGTTAATGGACAGCTGAGACCCTATTCTCAGCAGGTAGAGCACAACCAACCAGAAGTTGCTCCCCTCTTTTTCTTTGCTGCATGGGAGTCTTTTGTTCTCCCTCTCCTTTTGGGAAAGTGCTCGTTTATTGTTTTCCTTTGCCATAACGTTAAAATATTCTTAAAATCACTTTTTTTTTTTCTGGATCCAACAGGAAAATGTAGAAAGAAAAACAAAGCCAAAAAACTGAAAACCAAACCTCCAACAATCTTATCATTGAGAGAAAAAAAGGTTAACTTCAGATTTAACACACACTTAAGCTTACCTGAAGTGGCTACCCACTTGTAATTAAAATACTACGAGGTGATACTGATTGCTCTCCTTTCTTCACTGTTATTAGTGGCTGTCATGAAAAGGACAGGTAAGTAGAAAGATAGATGCTGGCCCTTTACTTTAGTAAGGAGTCATGGAAATGCATACTAGCTCCCTCCATCTGGTCCCCTGGTCTTCCTACTCCAAATTAGAGATAAATCTTTTATATGACTGACATAGGCAGACCCAAATAGAAGCACTCATGAATTAACACAAGTCAAATTTATTTCAACTTACTATATAATTTATTTTAATTTAGGATTTAAAATTGATTATGACTTAAAATATCATGGTTTATTTATAATAGATACATGGGTTTTTGGGGGGAGTGGTGGTTCAGGACCTGAGCTGATATGGATGTGGGATCTTAAAGGAAAGAACAGCCCTAGACAACATATTTTTACTAAACATAGGGCATTAAACTGTTTTAGGATTCTTAAAGAACATTGAAACCTTTAACATTTCATAGAGCTGGTCAGTCAGCATCCCTAATACAAAATCTGCAGGTTCTTGTCAGCAAGCCTGCAAAACCAACTTTCTGGGTGTTCTTTACTT